TTTGATACCATGAAAAAGTAAGCTTAGCTCTGTCATCGGCTGTTAAATAATAGGCATGCATGCATGCTACACGATTTACTTCTTGTGAAGTTCTAGTCTTTGCTTAATTATTATTAGCTTGTTCGGGACTGCAACTATTATTAGGGGTGTATATGAGCAAATTTTGGCAGATTTAAAGAAAAATCAAGTTAAAACCATATCTAGTGGTCTTTTAGAATTCAAGACCAAAATTACCCATCTGTAATGAAAACCATTTTTTTTGGTTTAAATAACTTCTGGGCAGTTGGTGCGCACCCTCGGTTCTTTACTTTTTATATACTACTTGTATATGGGGAGTTTCTCCCACATTAGTAAATTATTACTTCATAGAAAAGATTCTCAAGTCCTGGTGTAACATGATCATGAATGTTAGTCTAATATGACCGATGGAAACATCATTTACTCTCAGGAGGTTCATTTTCATTCAAAGTTTTAATTTTGGACCAGATTTTTGGTGGAAGAATGGAAATTCTTGAGACAAGGAGAAGTGGAAGATGTTCCTATTGCCGACAAAATATGGGATGATTTTCCACGGAGAATAGATGATATTATTATTCAGGTATCCTTCTTTTAGAGTTTTCTCGTCTCTTATTTCTAATCAATCTTGTGAACTTTTTTCATGCATATATTATATATATATATATAAGGTAGCAGAATTGGTTTCGGCATCAGATGGAATGCGAAATTTTATTTTCTGATTCATTGTGGCAAGGCCGGAAGGGGAGCCTTGGCGTAACTGGTAAAGTTGTTGCCATGTGACCAGGAGGTCGCGGGTTCGAGCCGTGGAAACAGTCTCTTGCAGAAATGCAAGGCAAGACTGCATACAATAGACCCTTGTGATCCGACCCTTCCCCGGACCCCGCGCATAGCGGGAGCTTAGTGCACCGAACTGCCCTTTTATTGTGGCAAGGCCGTTCAGCTGCACAGCTGGACATCTCTCTAAGAATTCATTTGTCTTATAAAACAAGATTCATTTGTCCTATATTTTCGAGAGCTTTAGCAGTGAATATATGCGGGCTTAAAAACTTTTCATACCTTACAACATTGCAATCAAGAACCACCATGTTACCGTTCAGTTGGTAGGTTAAACTTTTTCAGCAACATTCGATGTATACAACCATTTTAAACTGATATTGTTACAAAGAGAGCGGTTTTCACACTACACTGAAAATGCAAGTGGTTGTGTTCCATTGCAATGACCTCCAGTTTTATGTGTCTAGTTGTCTCAAGACTTGTGAAATTCTCTGCTAGATTGGCTCAGTCCAGCTTTTATTTTATTTTCCCTCTCTTTTTTGCTTTTATTCCCCTTATTCATTTTCTTTGCCTTTCTTTTTGGTTGTCTGAAAAGAGATCCTCCGAACACATACTAGGCCGAATTGGGGGCGGGGGGGTTGGAGTCGAAAATATTGGCTCAGTTTGTCAACTTGTACTTGAGTATTTTCTGCAATCGAAATAAGTAAACTTGTAAATACTTCATGATCACGTCTCTTCATGGTAATCTGCTTGTTCTGTCAACTTCTCTGACAGGTCCCACAACAAAGAAATGAGTATGACTGTGGACTCTTTGTGCTTTTCTTTATCGAACGCTTCATAGTTAAAGTTCATGAAAGGCTTAAAGAGAAGGATCTGGCAATGGTATTATTTCTTTTTCAATTATAGAATTTTCCATCTTTCTCTCCGATAATGCATCGGTTTCTTTGTTTGTAATGTTTTGTCCCATTTTCAGTTTGGAAGGAAGTTGTTCGAACCTGAAGAAGCGTCTAGTCTGAGGTGGAAAATCCGTAACATACTTAAGGAAAAATTTAAGAATTCTAGTGACAAATAATGTTTCTTGGTCACCTACCATCTGTAGATAACTGCTGCTCTTGACAAGCATTTCTTAACCGGATCAGGCATCAATGGAGCAACTGCTTATTACCACCACTCCTGAAGTGCCCGACTCTGTATAGCTTAACTGTTAGTTATTGCTGTTGCTCACATGCCCCGATTCATTAGAGATTCTGGAACTTCTCTCTGCATTCTCTGTTTAGCAAAGTTTCTCACCAAACGCTGTGAAGCATAAGAGATAAATTGTAGAGATCCCTTTGGTAGAAGCTACATTTTACAGGAATCAGAAGATGTAGGAGAATTTCATATTATCTGACTATTTTCTTTCGAAAAAAGAAGCTGCAACAAGTACATTTGCCAAGATAATAGGACTTGGGATATTTCTGCTGATCAACATTCTTTTTTGCCTGCCCTTCTGTTTGGGTATAGTTGTTGAGGAAGTTGTGGGGTGGGGGGCGAATTTGTTCCCTTCCTGGAGCTTATACCGTTCATGTAAATGATTTCCTTCTAATGAGATGAAAGATCAAAGTTATATATGTGTTTCTTAATGCAGCATGATCTCATTACTTCTGCGAAATAATTACCCATTAATAAATAAATCAAAACCACCCACTGTATACATTCTACTATATGCTAAAGTGAATGCGACTAAATCCCTATAACCTGCTATGAGACTAGCTAAAGCCTCTTGAGTATAAATTTTATTCAGTCCAAGAAATTGATGAGCACAACCATTTTAAATTGATGGTAAATGTTTTGTACGTTGTGATGGTCTCTGGCCTCTTTTTCGTTCCAACATTGTCGATACTTTATAATATCATTTGATTTGTAATAAGTATCTCCTATAATAATGGGTTTACTTTTTATGTGCGTTGCCTTACCAAAATATTGAAAAGGACAATAATATCATAAATAACAAGGTAAAGCAAACTGAAAATCACTAGTATAATTACTTGAATTACAAGAAACACTTGGTTAGTTTAAGAGATTAAACATTTAGGAAACAAGTAATTACACCTACTTGAAGAAACTAGGTTTGCATTAAATAGAGTTGAAAGTTTCCATATTTGATCCATATTTAATGTTCCCTATATATTTCACAATATAATGCATTCAGTAAATTTTGCTACTCACCTTTCATACGCAGACGCAGAGTTTAGGGTTTTCTTCTTAAGGTTTTAGTAAACATGATGCTTTGTTCTCAGCCAAAACTTGCCGTCTGCTGCTGCCGTTGAATATTTAACTGTATAATGATGGTATAAGTCAAGTACCAATAAACATTTCAAATATAAATATATTACAAGTATGTATTTCTAATTATTAACTACATATCAATGGGAGGTCTTATATATTGTATAATGCTAGTATAATTAATAATGGTATTTTGATGAATGTGTTGTTATATAGTTGCTATGAATAACTAGTGACCGATACGTATGACCTTAATGAATGAAATTATATATTGGCAACGATGAATCGCAACGATGTAATTAACATGAATCGCAACGATGTAATTAACATAATTTGCAAGAAATATTGAATGTAAATTTTTTTTTTTATTTATGTCATAAATAATCATGGCAATAGTTTGCTTAATAACTATAATTATTTGTTATGATAAGATAATATAGCCACAAAATTCGAAGAGACAATAAACTCCGCTAGCATATAGTACTTTTTGTCATGCATTTACCATATCAATAGTATTATTTAACTACAATAAATAGTTAAATAAATATTATTCTTTGATTACCAAAGTCATTACAAGAGCTAGTCCAAAAAGAAAATAGAGATATTTTAGGAATAATGAATTTTAAATATAAAAGTTAGATTTTTCTAAAATATAAACTATTTAGTAATTGTATTTAATCAAAGAATTTACTAATTCTCAAATAACAAATTTTAAAATATAAAAATTAATCTTAAGCAATAGATCAGTATACTTATGGCCTCAAAGCTTATCAACTGACTCCTTGACTTATCAAGCTCATATATATATATATATGAGTGTGTGTGTAAGTTTGGTCCTTTATTATTTTTACATAAGTATTTAGAGTAATTTCTTATATCTAAACTCTTATTTTATTAAATAAGTATTTGGAGTACCTTTTTTATATCTAAACTATTAATTTAAGTACTTATATGGTGAAGACTTTATATATTTATTTATGTATATGTGGTCCTGAATTATTTTGAATAAGTACTTAAAATAATTTCATATATCTAAACACTTATTTTAAATAAGTACTCATATATTAAAGTTTTAGTGCAAGAAAAACTAATTTTAGTGGCTGATGACGTTTCCTAACTAATTATCTATGAAATAATGTTATATTTATGATTTCGTCACTAAATAAAAAGAAAATATATTAATTTAAATATGGATTTTTTTACAAAAAAAAAGTGAAATTCATCGCTAATATAGTGGCGCTAACATTTAGCAATGAAATATCGAAGCTAACAATATCTTATTATTCAACTTAATTTTTAATAACTATCTTTTTATTATTATATCAAATATAAAAATATATTTTCTTTACACTAAAAATTAAGAAGTATTATAACTCTCTTTTCTAAAAAGAAGTATTTTCTCTAAAAAAAAAAATTTATATATATATAGATGAATATATTCAAAATATATACGTGTATACTACAAAAAAAGGATGAAAAAAATACATAAAAAGATTTTAAAAAAAAAAGGTTTATGGGAAAGAGGGTTTGCATGCTTGATATTTTCCATTGGGAAGACAAGCATTAATTGGGTGAGAGAGAATCATGGAGAGAAATTCAAACCTAGTGGTAAGGGCATTTTCGATATAAAGTTTGTCCATAAACCCTAATTTGGATATGATTTTACTTTAATAACCCCATTTGAGTCATTGTGGCCAAAAGTGGTGTGGCCCAAAGGAATTTTCCTTTGCTATAATACATTAGAATGATACATTATATACACCCGTGTATCTGTTTATCTAGTTTTTAAATCACTTAACATTACTGTAGAAGACAGTTATCTAAAATAAAATCAAATTGGACTTTAGACCTTCGAAAAGTAAAACACGCCCGGGG